GGGGGGGGGGTGGGGGGGGGAGGGAAAAGAAAAAAAGAGAGAAGGATTCCAAATCCCCCCTCCCACCCCCCTCTCTGGCCCCGCTTTGGCAAACTCCTCCTTCCTCCTCCATTTTCCCCCTTCTCCCCCCTGTTTCGCTCTGGTCCCTCCCCATTCCTCCTTTTCCTCTGTTTTTCATGGAAAATCATTGGGAAAGAGAGGCGTGATGAAGCTGATCCCAACCTCCGTGGGCTCAAATAAATGAATCTCCCTCATCCTTACAAAAAATAAACCAAAAAATCCCAAAAGAAGTAGGGAGGGTTTTGGGGAAAAAAAGAGAAAAATAAAATTGGAATTGGAGGGATTTTAATAAAATTTTAGGGACTAAAAAAAAACGTAATATTCTCCTCTTCCCTTTCTTCCTTTTCTCTTTGTTTCCTTTTCTTCCTTCTCCTCCCCATAAATTTTTTCGGGCTCTTTAAATTAACCCGGAATTTCCCCTTTCCCCCCCCTTTTTTTTTTGCCCCCAAACAATTTGAAAACCCAATTGGCCTGTTTTTGGGGGTCCCCCAAATGCCACCCTATTCCCTATGGGCTCTATATTTAGGGACTAGGATCTCATTCGCAATTGTTCCCTGAGAACAAACAATACAGCAGTTACAGATACACTACATTTCAACAAAACAAATAAATTGTTACAATAAACTTAAAAACGTGCAAACCTCAGTGAATTCATCCCTCATCAGTGTTCTAAACTGCCCTGTTGGCACCAGAGATTCAAGATGTAATGAGGTTTTGTAAATTATTCCAAACATGGGGGGCGTTGACACTAAAGGCTGATTTACTTAGGATGGTAGAGACACGAGGGACCTTAAGAGTTAACCAACCCTGTGACCAGTAAAGGGTGCATAAACATTATTGGGTATCGGATTGACTTTGGCTTCCCTTCAGACTCAAGATATGACAAATAGGAGTGGCAAAAGAGTCCTCTACCATCCTCAGCAGCTTTCCATCTAAGTTGCCAATGCCACGTGATTTCTCGTAATTGATGGACAACAATAATTTTTCCACCTCACCCACACTAACTTTACAAAATTCTAAATGACAATGCTTTCCCTTTATTATTAGGTATTTTATGCATGAATATGATGGCTCACAGTTGTTGTTGGCATTCCATGCCTAAGTTTGCTTACTTTGCCAATTAAATAGCCATTCAAGTAATTATCAACATCAAAAGGTTTTGTGATCAATTATCATTCTGATTCAATGAAAGTTGGGGTTGAATTAGTCTTTCTGCCCATGATTTCATTTAAAATATTCCAAAGCTTTTTTCCATCATACTTTGTCAGTTTTCTACAATTTCTTTCTTCTTTTTGTTCAGTTTAGTCACATCATTTCTCAACTACAGAACATTTGCCAGTCAGATGTGCAGCCAGACAAGATAGTTTCGAAATTGGGCAGTATTTATCTTGGTCAGAAGGATCCCCACCTTTGTGAAGGGGGAGGACATGCGCCACCTTCCAGATCTTAGGGATAGCACAAGAAGCAAGTGTTAAATAAAACATGTTAGTCAAAGGTTGTACAATGAGGCAGAAAGCTGCAGTAAAAAGGGATCAAGCAAATCAGCTTTACACACATTTTTGCAAGGCACTTAGTACATCGTTGACATAAAATGGTTCAAATGGAAAACAAGAGTGAGTGCTTGGAAGTGCATCATTATCTGCTATCAGTTTAGAGGTGAATAAAGGACTCCCTCTAGTGGAACTTGAGGTATTTTCAGAAAGTATTCTTTCACATACAGTGTCCTCCGTAATTACTGGGACAGTGACACATTTGTTGTTGTTTTGGCTCTGAACTCCAACACTTTGGATTTGAAATGACACCATGACCATGAGGTTAAAGTGCAGACTGTCAGCTTTAATGATATTTGTGCATCTGTAACTTTCTCACTCATACCCTCAAATTAAAGCTGACAGTCTGCACTTTAACCTCACAGTCATTGTATCATTTCAAATCCAAAGTGCTGGAGTACAGAGCCAAAATAAATACATATTGTCACTGTCCCAATAATTACAGAGGGCACAGTAGGTGGCCAGCTGAGGCAAAATGGTTATTAAAAGCACCACAAAAAAAAAAAGTATATTATGGGACCAAATGTAGTCATAATCTGCTGGGGCAATGAGGGGGAGGAGCTTTATTTCAAAGATTTGACCACTTTCCAGAATTTTGTTGGATTTCCACCACTCTCAGATACACAATTCAAGAAGTATGTTGACTTTGCTTTTCTAACCCGAGTATGCCATCTATTTCTCAAATGTCTGAAGGACTGCCAATCAGAGATAGAATTAGTCAATCTAGCCTTAGCTAACTTCCTTTCATGAAATCTTTCAGACAATTCATGCGTCAACCATGGGTTAGATCTGTCCTTTACCCTTAATCTCTTATATGGGGCATCTGCAACAGAGTTAAAAAAATAGATGTAAACCATTTAAGGGCCTAATCTGAATTTCCACTTAAGTAA